CTCTGAGGGGTGGTTAGATCTGGGCCGTGCACTGGTGGGTGGTTAGATCTGGGCTGGGTGCTGGCGGGTGGCATGGGCTGCACTGCCCTCTGTGTTTCCTGCTCCATGTCATGGCCTTCACGCGTGACTCTCAGAACCTGCCGTCCTGTGTGTGCAGCAGGGGCACAGAGCCTCTCCCCAGCTGCAGCCCTGCGCAGGCCCCCTTCCCTGCTTCCCTGCCATGCTGCCTACCCAGGGTGCCAGGCTCTTCCCGCCCACCTCCTGGGCTCCACAGGGACTAGTGGGTGGAGGACAGTGGGCCGTGGTGTGTCCAGCGAATGACGGCTACACAGCAGATTCCCCACCAGCTTTTTGAAACACCCATGTCATCTCAAACTACAACACGTTTTATCTCCCGAGATGCTTTCAGCAGCCCTTGAGCATTTTTTTCTAGTTTGCAAATTGTGGTTTTTCTCATCAGTGTTCTCCTTCAGCCGAATGGCTCAGCTCTGAAGCTGGGCTTTTGAGGAGCAGGAATTCCTTCTGTGGCTGCAGCAGGAGTGTTGTGGGAACCGACCAGGCCCAGCTTGCCTGGCTCCCGCCAGGGCCCTGAGGATTACACAGGACCTTTTGTGTTGCAAAGGGCTTGGCTGAGCTTGCGGGGAAGGGGGAGGCCTCCTGGGCTGCAGGCCGGAAGTCCCAGGTCAAAGTGCTGGCAGGCTGTCTGTGCTCCCCAGGAATGTAGGTCACAGCCTTCCTTGCCTCTTCGGGCACCCGCCGGCTGTGGGCACTCCCGGGAGTTCCTGCACCTGTGCTGCCAGGTGGCTCCTCATCCCTGTCCTGGCCTCTGCTCTCACGAGGATGCAAGGATGCCGTCACGCTGGGTTAGCCCAACCTGCTCTAGCACAGCCTCCTGTTAACCAACTGCACCTGCAGTTACATGTTTGCAGGTGAGCTCACCCGTGGGATTGGGGGTGAGGATTTCAGCACAGGGATTTAGGGACACAGTTGAACCTGTCAGGGTTCGGGTCAGAGCTAAACGTAGGACCCCAAATGCTGGGATTTTAAAGGCATTCTGCATTGCCCTTCATGAAGGAACCTGGGGAGCTCGGGTGGGGTCTGTGAGGCCCAGGATCCCCCAGAGGCCCGGAGAGTGTCTGGGATGGACATGCTCAGCACACACTGCCTTGAACGCCCGGCCCCACATTCGCCTCAGAGGGCAGCGCAGCCTTACCATCAATGGAAGCCCTTTGGAGGTGGGTGGGTATCAGGGAGGAGCAGCCCTGCTCCGGGCGGCCTCGCCCTCCTTCCTGGGCCCCTGCCGTGGGCACAGCTGTGGGCACCAACGCAGCCGGGGGTGCAGCCTCAGGTGGTTACATTGAGCACAACTTCCGTCTTTGAGTTCTTGTAGGAAGGCTGTGTTTTTTCTTGCTGGAAATGAATTCTGGGAGGAATTTGTAACACACATCATTCCGGAGAGTCGATACAACTTGAAAGTCTTCCCCGCCAGTGTGTGCAAGGGACAGAGGGCAGCTCTGCCATGTCTGCCGGTCTTGTGGTGACAGCAGAGAGCTCTTGAATTCCAGGCCCCAAGCCCCTTCCAAGGCTCTCCAAGTCTAAACTACCAAGATTTAAACGTTTGGAGGAAAGTCTTGATTTCCCTGGTGTAGTGGAATTCTACCTAAAGTTTTACTAGGGGAAAAAGTGAGTTCTTTTGGCAAAAAAAAAAAAGTTTGAAACTTGCTCATCTGCTCGTCATTCTCTCATTCATTCGCTCACATGACGAGCGTGTTGCGTGCTGCCGCCTGCCAGGTTTCAAACTGCACCGTGCTGGGCGGTGAGCAGAGGTGCCGCCTCCGAGAACACATCTGGTTCTTCTCAGGGTGATATTTGTACCTGGCACACGGGACCTGCACTGTCCTGGGTAATCCCACAGGTCTCCCGGGGCTGGTGTCACAGCCTAGGAGGTGGCGTATGGGGAAGGAGTGGAGGGGCCTTGGTGTCTCCTCAGGGCCGTTTCCTGCAGACACGGGCTCCTATTCACTGCCTTCCTTCCTGAAGACTTTAAAGATAATTCCTTCTTCCTGTATGGGGTACAGTGTGGGTTCCAGTCCCAACAGCTCGTGTTTCTCCCCTTGCAGATATTTAAGAGCCTGTTTTGTACCAGACATTGTCAAGCTTTTTAAAAAAACGTTATTTATAGAATCATGTCCAGGTATATTTTATCTAATTGTTAGAGTTCAGCGGCAGTAAAATATAATTTCGAAAAAAGAGCGTTGACAAAATAAAAATCTAATGTGATTGTGTCACCGTCCGGATGAATCTGAACATGTGCCCGGCAGTGGCCTCTTACGCTGCTAGGTCAAAACAGAAACTTTTGTTGGGATGGGGACACCGTGTCGCTCTGTCCCCCAGGCCGCAGGACGGTGGCGCGATCTCAGCTCACTGCAACTTCCACCTACTGGGTTCAGGTGATCCTCCCACCTCAGCCTTCCAAGTAGGTGGGACCACAGGTCCACACCTTCACACCAGGGTAATTTTTGTACCTTTTTTTTTTTTAAGAAAAGAGATGGGGTTTTACTGTGTTGTGCAGGCTGGTCTCAAATTCCTGGGCTCAAGCAATTAGCTCACCTTGGCCTCTGAAAGCACTGGGATTACCCGTGTGAGCCACGTGTCCGGCAATACATAAGCATTTTCACCCATCATTTTCATCAGGGCATTTAGTCGGCATTGTTTCCCCAGCATGTTTATTTGGCAAATATGATTTTTTTTCTCCCCAAACATGAATTCTATGGAAATGCCAGTTGCATTTGGAAAATATTCCAGAAAACAGTTTTTTTGTTTGTTTGTTTAACTTTTTACTTTGAAAGGTGTTCACCAGTTTATTTCAGTAAACTGACTACTTAATGATATGGCAAAAAACAAAAACAAAAAACCTTCTGAAATAGAAATAGGTATTGTTTACAGTCACTTGGGAGATAGTGAGGACTGGTTTGAAAGTACATAGTTAATCAAGGCTCAGACTCTGGAAATCAGCAGTCCTGTCTGTTCCAGCTCTCCCCCCTCCTCGATTGTTTCACTCGATTAGGCTTAAATTCAAAACTTTGAATTTAGAAAAGTCTTTGACCCTCTAGGAAGTGGGTGCGGCTTTGGTATCTGGGCAGAGCAGAGTTCACCATCCGGAAGGAAAGCAACACACACTCTTATCAGGCGTATGTTTTAAAAATAATACATTTTTGAATCCTTTTTCTTGATTCAGTTTCAGTATTTGTCATTCTCATCCTTTTAAAACTTGTGAGCGTTGGTGGAAGCAGTTCTGGAAAGCTCTTGGGGCCCCCCAGGTGTCATAGTCAGCTGGGGGTCTTGTCCCCACTGTCCTCGCAGCAAAAGCTGGATCCTGTCACGCTGTCACGGGCCTGGGCCCCTCTGTGTATTCATGGTGACCTAAAAAATCTGTTTCCTTCAAAAGGCGCTCTTAGAATATATGACTAGTTTAGGAGATTCAAAGGAAAATGAAACACCTCAAATTTAAAGGTTGTTTTTAGACCATTGGAGTTCCCCCAAGGCCCGGCAGAGTGTGCCTGGAGACTGAGTGGAGTGGAAGTGGGTTGTGTGTCTGTGGGTTCCTCCTCAGCCCCCTCCAGAGCTGCCTGTAGCTGAGCTGGGCCACCCTGCCTGGGTGCATCTCCCTGGCCCACAGGGGAATGTCTGTGTTGGAGGGGCTTGGTTTGGGCTGACCCAGGCCCTGTCCCGAGGTGCTACCTGCTTCTATGGACTGCAGCACGTGGCAGCAGGAGGTTCCCTCAGGAACGTGTGCTGGGAAGAAATCCTGGCCCTTGGGAAAGGCTGGAAGGGGCTGGGTTCCTCTAGCTTTTGGGTGTGTGGGGTGGTGTCGTCTCCTCTGGAAAAAGGAGAAGCACCTGTCTGCTCTGATGGTGATGCGTAGTCCCAGCACGCTGTCTCTGCAGATGGTGCACACGGCGGCCACCCTGCAGGCTGCACCACCAGCCATAACCCCAGTCCAAGGAGACCTGTGACTCACCTCCTGCAAAATGTTTCTTATCAAGCACCTGCTTGGAGCGGTTATTAACCATGCTCTTTAATAATTTTGGAAGTTTGTGTTTTAAGCTATGTATCGATGTTCATATTTGACACTGATTTTCTAACCATTAGAGATATTTAATTAAAAATTGTAAATAAAAGAGGTAAAATGAAAGTAAAAGGAGAAGAATTCTAGGGAGAGACACTGCGTGTCAGAAGTTATTTCTAAAAGTAAAGTGGATGACACTGAATTCTCTTCAGAACCATCAGCCCAGCCGGGTGATGTTCATCTGCTGGGGGCATAAATTTAAAATGGAAAAGCTATTTTCCCCCTTACTTTCTCTTGTTTTCTTTTCTTTTCTTTCTTTCTTTTTTTTTTTTTTTTTTTTTTTGAGACAAAGTTTTGCTGTGTCACCCAGGCTGGAGTGCAGTGGCGCAATCTTGGCTCACTGCAACCTCCTCCTCTTGGGTTCACGAGATTCTCCTGCCCCAGCCTCCTGAGAAGCTGGGATTACAGGCGCTTGCCACCACGCCCAGCTAATTTGTGTATTTTTAGTAGAGACGGGCTTTCACCGTGTAGGCCAGGCTGGTATCAAACTCCTGACCTTGTGATCCTCCCACCTCGGCCTCCCAAAGTGCTGGGATTACAGGTGTGAGCTACCACGCCCGGCCTCTTGTTTTCTTTTCTAACTGTGAATTGTAGATCCTATTAAAAGAAAATGAAAACCAGTGACTCAGAATTCTAATGATACGTATTTTGCCCCTTAAAAAGGCTAACTACAAGTGCAGTACAGCATCGAGGAACTTAGTCAACGTCTCTAACTTAGACCGATCGATCTATATAGAGGAACTTAGTCAACGTCTCTGACTAGCATAGATCTATCTATCTGTCTGTCGATCTATCTGTCTCTCTGTCTATCGATCGATCAATCTATCTATCTATCTAATCTCCTTGATCTGGTTTTGGTTTTTCTCTTTAGAAAATGAAACGAAACATGATACCAATAATAATGAAGAGGAAGAGGGAGAACAGTTTGATTTTGACAGTGGAGATGAAATCCCAGAAGCGGACAGACAGGCCCCCTCAGCCCCTGAGACAGGAGGTACTGGAGCCAGTGAAGCCCCTGCACCCACAGGTGAGTTTCCAGGAGGGTCCCCAGGTGGGTCCCCAGGTGAGTCCCCAGGAGGGTCCCCAGGAGAGTCCCCAGGCGGGTCCCCAGGAGGGTCCCCAGGAGGGTCCCCAGGTGAGTCCCCAGGTGAGTCCCCAGGAGGGTCCCCAGGTGAGTCCCCAGGAGGATCCCAGGTGAGTCCCCTGGCGGGTTCCCAGGAGGGTGCCCAGGTGAGTCCCCTGGCAGGTTCCCAGGTGAGTCCCCAGGTGAGTCCCCAGGAGGGTCCCCAGGTGAGTCCCTTGGCGGGTTCCCAGGCGGGTCCGCAGATCGCCAGTGTCGGGGTCACCTGTGCTCAGCCATCGGCTCTATTGGGCTCTCCCATTTTCTCCCCATTCTTACTGCCCAATTGGAACATTGTAGGGAAGGGATGATTTCTAGGGGCCAGAGACTTATGATTTCTTCATGATATACCTGAAATGACTTAATTTAAGATTGGCTAAGTTTCTTCTCTTTGTACTATTTTCCATAATTTTCAGCCTTTTCACTCTACTTTTGTATTTTGCAGAGAAAAGGTGTTGCTATTTCCCAATAAAAATGACCTCATCATTGTGTCACTAGATTAAATGAAGTATTCAGAACATGTGGGATGAAGTAGCTGTAGAGGTTTCTCTTTCTAAGTCTGGAGGTGGGTTGGGTGCTTTCATTCGCTGACCAGAGGGACTGCTCAGGGCAGGCTGCGGTGGGAGACCCTGCACAGTGTTTCTTCGTGCGTGGCACCCGCCTCTCGGCTCGCACGGTGTTTCTTCAGGTGCAGTGCCAGCCTCTCAGTTTGCACAGCGTTTCTTCTCTCGGTTGGCCAGTGTTTCTTTGGGCGCAGCACCCGCCTCTCAGCTTGCACGGTGTTTTTGTGCGTAGCACCGGACTGTTGGTGAGGGGAGTGGCTGCCCGCCTCCAGCAGCTTCTCCCTGACTTAGCTCATGGGATGAGCCTTCTGTAGTGAACAGGCTGTGTCTGTCTCACCTGCGCACAGAGGTGACGCTGGGTTCCCCATGTGCGAGTGCTCCCTCCGAGGCCCACCCAATGACCTGGGAACGTCCGGGGGTCCTGGCATGGCATGGAGGGTGGAACTCATACCTGCTTCCCGCCTGTACTCCAAGAGGGCACGCTTGCCATGCCCTTGGTGATGTGTCTGCTGACAAGTCCTTTCTGCATCCCCAGGAGGTGAGGATGGAGCTGGAGCAGAAACCGCCCCAGTGGTAGAGCCTGCTAAGCTGGTGCTCCCAATGAAAGTCAACCCATATTCTGTCATCGACATCACGCCATTCCAGGAGGACCAGCCGCCCACCCCTGCGCCCAGCACTGAGGAGGAGAGTGTGGGTCTCCATGTGCCCTGCGGGTACTCAGTGCCTGTGCCCTGCGGCTATGCAGTGCCCTCCAACCTGCCCCTCCTGCTGCCCGCCTACTCTAGCCCAGTCATCATCCGTGCCACGTCCCTGGATGAAGAAGGTACTGCTGCCCTCCTCTCCACACCCGCAATGTGGCCTGTGGTTCCCTCCTCTCCACGCCCCTGACGTGGCCTGTGGTTCCGTAGAGTCGGGGCCTGACCTTCCCCCCTCCTCCTCTCCACGCCCCTGACGTGGCCTGTGGTTCCGTATAGTCGGGGCCTGACCTCCCCCTGCCCCCGCCCAGGTCATTAGATGTTTGTTTATGGAGTTGGAAAGTGAGCCCCCCGTTCCTCTTCTTCAGTGGCGGGAGCACCCCTGAGGGAAGGCCAGGGCATATTGTTGGGAAAATTTTGAAACAACGTCTGGTCCCGAATGTGTTGCCTCCTCATGTCTGGGGTGCCTTGAACTTCACCCCGATTTCTGGTTCCCCCACCAGGTGCTCACAGGAGTGTGTGCAGCTTTTGGCCTATGTGGCTCACTGTGCTAGATGACAGTTACCGTTATGTATGTCCCGTGTCGCCTGCTGGTCTAGAGACTCGGGCTCCCTGGGGTCAGAGCGTGTCTCCCTGTCTTCATTCCAGAGGATGGAGGGCAGTGGGGTGGAAGAATTGCCTCAGGGGCTCCCTGTCTCCCACCCACGGTTTTCCTCACTGGGGAGATGCCGCAGGACCTCGGCAGAGTCCTCAGTGCAAGGTCAGAGCCACCTGGGGCAGCACAAAGGGCGCAGAGTCGGCCGCTGAGGGCCGTGTTCCCCGCAGCGAGGCCATGCTCTGAGCCAGGACTGTGGGTGCCTTCAGCGCCTCACTCACCTCCAGTCTCCATGTCCTCAGTGCTGACAGCTCTGTTTTGAGTCTGCTTTCTCCTCCACTTAGTGAGAAGGAGCCACTGTGTGCTTTAGAAGGGGCTTGGTTGGTGGAGCCCATTCTCTGCTGTCCTTACATGGCCCTGGCATGTGTAGCCGGGCGCCAGCTGTGTCTGCAGAGCCCCAGGTTTCCACTGGAAGGACAGCGTGTAGGCCACGGCTGCTCCGACTGCAGCCCAAGGGCTGGGGCCTCCTGCTGGCCCCGCTGTAGGCCCAGGCGCCAGGGCAAGGGTAAGCACATACCGTGCCTCCGTCTTCAGGAGTGACCCAGTCGAGGCGTCTCGGCCAAAGGTTTCCTTTTTTGCCCAGCTCTGTTTCTGTGCTGCCTTTCCCAGGAACGCGCTGCAGGATTCCAGGGTTCGTGGGATGTGCCTCTAATGGAAGCCCCACAGCCTGTATGCCTGAGACCCGATTCTTATTCCTGTAAAGGTTTCAGTGGAAGCAACCTTCCCTTTCCAGTTAATAACAGTTGAGGAAAAAAATCCTTAAAGAAAAATCTCGATTTTGGATTTTGGGAACCGCAGAGGTTTCAGGATAGACGGCCTCCCGTGCGTTTCCCTGTTGAAGTCGGCCGGAGTCCTGGGAACTCACCACGGTCTGCATGATCCACGCTGCTGTTGTCCCTCTGTGACCACGGAGCGTGAGAACCCCCCGGAAACGAGGGTGTGCGGAGTGTGGCATTCTTGGCTGAAGGAAAATACGTTTATTTTAAAGTGATTTTCTTATTTTAAAATATTATTTTAAATAATTGCACACCATTTAAAGTAATTTGTTTTTTAAGTAACTTAGCATGAATTTAAAACAATTTGCTTATATTTGTTCTGTCAACCTACAGCCAGTAACAATGCCTTGTTCTAATAAAGACTATGTAAGTCCCGGAGTAGAGGGGCGGGTGGCTGTCCAGTTGCGTTTTGATCATTGAACGAGAGATGTGAACGCAGACCTCTTTCCTGAGAGGTGGAAAAGCGTGGACTTGGTGCCAGCCCACCTCCCCCCACCTGGGGGGCACTGCTGGCTTTTCAGTTCCTTGCTCCAGACCCTTCCTGGGGTGGGGTGGCCACCTGGCTCTGCAGGCTTCCCTGGGACGTACAGCCCAGCCAGGCTCCCCAGGTCCGCGGTGGGAGGTTGCAGAGCCCTGTCTGGAGCTCCCAGCTGGCCAAACTGGGATGGCCAGGTTCCATTATTTTTCCTGCTGACCGACACCAGCTCTGAAGACATCGCAGGCAGGTCCTGCTCTTGTTTACGCGTGGGCCTCTTGTGGCCAGAAGCCTCTGGGTGCGCTGCTGCTTGGAGCTGTTCAGGTGACTCCCTGGTGTGCATGTCTGCCTCCTTCTGACCTTGACAGACTCAGTTTGCAACTTAATTTCCTGGAAGGCGGAGGACAGAAGAGTTTCCAGGGGTGGATCCCTGAGAAGGCTAATGTGTGTGCCCTGGGGATGGGAGTCTGAGCTCTGGACGCCCCGTGGGGGAGACAGTTCTTGCTGTACAGTGAGATTGCTGCCGGGCAGCACGTCCTGCCTTTGTCCCTCTGCAGAACACTAGTGAAAGCTTTGTGGCTCTTTGGGTGTTTCTTTGAGGCAGTGTAGTAGCACGGGAAGGGCAGTTTTGGGACTGGGCAGATTGGATTTCAGATCCTGCCTCTGCCCTGACACCTGCCCCTCAGGAAGGTGACCCGGAACACTGAACCAGCAGATGCCTGTGGGATTCGCAGTGCTGCCCGCAGATCCACGCCCCCAGCCCTCCCGGCGTCCCATGTCTGTTGCTATTCAGTGTCCAGCTGTGGCGGCACCTGGCGTGACCAGAGGCCTGTTTTCATGGACGAGATCTCCAAGCAGGTTACATTGAGCTTAGCTCTCTCGGACTTTGAGCCAACTGCTGCTGTTTGAAAACGGTTGAGAACTGTTACTCACCCGAAAGACAAATTCCCTTTAGAAGGTGTTTCATGGACAGCCGCTAGCGTGGGGATAAACAGCAGCCGCCGAGTGCTGCTGGCTCTCCTTCCCCACGTCATTCTTGGTGCCACGCGGCTGGGCGGTGGCAGATTCCTCAGGGGACCACGCAGCCCGCACGCGGTACAGCCGTCACAGACTCTGGCTGGCTCCTGCCCAAGAGCCCTCCGAGGTGGGAGGGGCTGCTCCTGCACTGGTGTCTCAGGCTGTTCATTGATCGTCTAAGTTCGTACGCCACCTGCGTGGAATGTTTGGGAAGCCTACACTGTGGCGTTGCTCACGGCTCGCCGTTCACCCTGGAGAGCCACAGATGGGCAGGAAGGAATCGCCAGTTGGGTCTCACCGTGCGTGTATTTGTGCGTGGAGGGATGTGAGTGTGTGTGAGTAAAAGTTGGTGTCACGTGTCACAAGCGTAACTACTCCTCTCTTGAACATCTTTTGAGTGTGCCAGGTGGATGCCCCTTCAGGCCAGTCACAATCATGGCTCCTGTGGACATGTGGAATGGGAGAGAACATCCCGTTTCTTCCTAGCTCTAGCCTGATGCATCTGGGTGCTGGTCACAGCCGTCACTCCCGTGGATGTGCAGAATGGGAGAGAACATCCCGTTTCTTCCT